TAAAGTATCAGCAATAGTATAGCTTCTAAATTAGTGTTTCAACTAATAATTTCCTCATAGACATTTTTTCCCAAATTTTCACTTCTTTTGATGCTATATAATCCAATAAACAAAGAGAAACACTTTTCCATTCTTTTTCAATATAATATATTTTTTCACTTGTACATGACCCCCTAAATGTAAACTGCGTATTTATTTTTTCAGGACAACAATGGATTCAAAATCTTGAGCTTCTAAAACTTTAATCATCATGCCTGTCATTTGACAGATTCTTTTGTGCTTGATATATTCTAATGCTATGTGATTAGTTATAACAATAAATTTTCTTCCTTCAAGTATAAAAAGATTAGTGTACCAAATAATAATTTCTATATCATGATCATATAATTTATACGTTACTTGATAAATTTCTTTAAATACTTTTATCTATAAAAATTTTATATGATATTACATATACAAATATTGGGATATTAAATATGTCATAAGATATAATCACTAGTTATATACAAAAGAATCATTGTATCGAATGGTAATTCTTATAATATAGATCAGCTAAAAATTGGTAACAATCAACTATGCTATTGCATTCTATATTATAATTAGCTAAAATCAGAATTCCTTTCAGTATAGCATATCTTTTGTATTTGACCTTAATAATTTGCTTACTATGATTTTCTTTATAAAATATTAAATAAGTTGCTTCAGTAAATATGTTTATTATGATATTTTTAATAAATAAATGTAAAATATTTATATATAAGTAAAATTTAATATTACTTGATATTTTGAAACTTGTTATTAAAGACATGCTAAGCTATTTTAATTTAACAAACAATAACTATCTTTCAATAATTCTAAGTCTTTAGCAACTTTGTAACAATTATCTTTAATTCTAAAAAGAAGGTTTAATTGCTCCTTGATTTTTCTTGATTCTTCAAGATTGGTTAATAATAGTAATAAATAACTATAGGAAAATAAAAATATACTGATAAGGGAGATAATCACTAATTTTACTAATTTAACAGTAACAATTGAATCTCATAGTCATTACTAAATTTTTCTTTAGTAAACTTTTCAAGTTTTTATCTTGTAATCCATGCAACTTATTTCCCAACCATTATTAAAAAAGCCAAATTTTAGAATATTTTATATATAAAAATATTTATTCTTAGGTATAAATTTGAAATATTACAAAGTATTCTAAACAAATTATAGATATCTTTATAGAAATTTCTATCTAAACTTTGCACCCTTCTTTAAATTCTGGGAGCTGGAATTCAAGTTTGATTCCATATTTGTCATTATTTAAGGATCTATTAATTTTCTGTTTTCAAATTATTATCTATTAACAATAATATAAAACAATTTTTTAAATATATGTGGAATCCTAGATAATACACTATTATAGTAGTGTTTATATAAAAAGTAACAACATAACTATATTATAAGAATTAAAGTAGTGCAAATTAAGTCTCAAAATAATAAATTTCAAATATTATCCAATAAAATTCAAAAAAAATTTTTAACATGTCTAGAAATAACCATATGACTTGTGCCCAACAACATTCAAATCCTATTATTGGAGTCTCTAACTTAGAGAAATTGTAATTCTTAAAGAGACTGCTAAATTCTTCTGTTGTCATCTCCATCTATAGTTGTCTTATCCTGAATATAAAACTGAGCTTTGGACTATAAAAAAAAGTTTCAAGATCTACAAATTGAATTTCACTTTGCAACATGAATTTCCACTAAACTTTTCATAGATAAAGAAGATTTAAGCTATACTGAGAAATATTTGTGCCTACTTGACTTGTGTTCATATTTGAGGAGGCTTTGAAGTGTCTTGGGTAGATTTTGCTCCTTCATTATTTTAAATAAAATGAAAAGTCTAATGAGGCATTATTCAATATTAATAATATGGAGTTCATTGTTAAATCTATAATCTAAAGGACAAATATAATGAGTTATACAATATAACTATACCCTTCAAGTAAGTTGACTTGTTTTATCAAAATTTGTTATCTATTTTGGATATAATAATTATTGTTTCCCTTTTTAGAACTTTACAGCTATCCTAAGGCTCAATCTTCCAGAATAATACTATTTATCACAGTTAAAAATGGTTTCCAAGGTCATTCTTTTAATAAATTTTCTAATTTATCTCAAAATCTTGTTAAATTTCAAAGCAGCACTCTGTTTACTTCTCCATTGTGAACAAAATGTCTTGAATTTGCATGTTTTTTAAATATTAATTAACCACCCTTTAGATACTTTAAAATTTGTGATGTTAAGAAGTTTTGCAAACTCTTGAGCTTGGTGATTTATGATAAATCCTAAAATTGCTTCAATGCATTATTTACATCAATGCTTTTTTATATCAAGTGAATTTTGGTGCTTCTATTTTTTTTTTTAATCAGGCTTCATAACTATTTAAATCACTGATCAAACAATAATAACTATTTTTAAAATTTTAGATATAGTAATTACACTAACATTAATTTTTTTTTGCTATAATAGAATTTGAAATACGAAATTCATATTTTTGAAAATTTTTTAAACTATGTCTAACAAATCAATCCACAGCAAATTATAAAGTTAGGAAAAAGAAACCAAATGGAGAGAGTTCTTTATTGTAATGGATTTTATACATGATGTTAGTTTGTATTACTAGCAAGGTGTTTATATAAAGGATATAAGTCAAGAAATTATACAATGACTTCAATTTACACTGTTTAAATGAAGAGCAAAATTTTTAGCCCAAATAGATATGCAAATAGGCAAGGAGATTTGTAAATAGGTTAAGCCAATTTGGACCATAAATTTTGCCAATTTTTGATCATTCAACATATGTTAACAATAACTTTTTCAATAGTCAGTTCAAATTACAAAAGAGATAAAGCAAATAAATAATAAAAAGGATAAGATATATAAATAAAAAAAGAATAAGATATACAGATAATAAAAGGTATAAGATACATAAATAATAAAAGTGATGAGATAAATAAATAATAAAAGATAAATTATAAGATAAATATATAAGAGTATTTATCAATTGTAAGAACTTATGAACTGTAGAACTGTTAAAAGCCAAAACTAAAGAGACCTGTATTTATATTTTTATATCCCAGACTAATTACATTTTCCCTATACTAGATTGGTTCTTTACTAAGCAATACAGATAATATTATTATATCAAAGGTAATTTCTATATCTATCTCCTTCATACCTAGATATTTCCCTAAGTATTGTATCAAGTAAATCTACTAAATCTTTTAAAAAACTCCATTCATCATCTGAAAATAAAATTTGCCCTTAATTGTTTTCCATCTTTTTTAATTCATGAACAATAGGATACATAATACTATCATTACTTTTATTAGAATTTTATATTCTTTTGCAATTATTCTGGTATTGATTGATGCCCATTAGCAAATATTTAACTCTTAATATCATGAAATTTTTGAAAGTCTGTGATCTATTTCACTAACTAATACTAGTTTGTTTATGAAGAAGTGCTTGAGTAAATTGGTAGAGTTTGTTCAGTTAAGGAATAGGTTGCAAAGTATAAATTATTTGTGAAAAAGTAACAGGGTATTCAAAGAAGTGTGAAAGTTGCTATAACTATTTTAGAACTCATTCAATAAAAGGATCTGAAGTGTATTGACACAGAATTGTAAATTGTAATTATCATTGCTTATCAACAACATTGGTGCTTATCAATTAATTTAATAAAGCCAAATTGTCCAGAATTAGATCTTATTTGGAAGAGTAAATTCAATTATTGTCTTTAACATTGAATAAAGGAGGTTGCATAGTATTACACTAGACAAATACAATAGAATTACTGTATCAAATAGTAATTCCTATAGATTAGCTAAAAATCAATAACTATCAATTATCCTATTGCATCCTATATTACAAATCAACTAAAATCAGAATTCCTTTTCAGTACAGCATATCTTTTTTATTTGACCTGTGTCATTTGTAGTGTCATCTATAGAATTGATGATTTCAGTCATTTGTAGAGTATTGAATGATTTTTTATTCCAAGTATCTGGATATGGATAACACTCCATTATTATACTCAATTATTGATTTAACTTTTTGATTGTAAAGCTCAGTAATTTTCTTAATTACATTGTTGGACACTTCAACTTGAATCATGAATTTTTAACTAGAAAATTCCCATGTATCAAGACATAAGATTGAAAAGCAATGGTATGTCCTTGCTTGAAGATTTATCAAATATTCAAAGATTCAAAGTAATTTAATTTGAAATATAGTTAAACCAATAGTCCTATCAATTGAGATTGTTTGAAAGAAAATCAATTCACTAATTGAATTAATACCAATTTAATACTGTGAGATTCTATCCAAATTGTCTTGTGGTGAAAGAAAAACTCATCCTTTTATAATATTTAATTTTGACTGTGTTATTAAGTTCATCTGACTATTCAAATCTCTTGCATTATTGGAATTTTGTTGAGGAATTGTATGAACAACTAAGCTACAAGAATCTCTCTCTATTCCTGCATTAAGATCATTATATATTGTCAGTGTTTCTGTCAGTGTTTCTGACATTAATTTGACAATTTATTTGACAATCTCTTTGATGGTCTTTTTGACCATAATTTTGTCTTAATGTAAATAAATAATGTAAAATAATAAGCTATAATTAACTAAAACTATGACATTACTATAATCATAAATTATAAATAATACTGATTAAATATATAATAATAGAGGAAATTATTGGTAATAACACTTTACTTATTTTAATAAAGCAAAATATTAGACCCTAATTATAAAATATATCAACCTGGATGTAAAATTGTATATATCTATGTGTCATGAACTAAAGATTAGATCTAAAGGTCACTGCACTTTAATATTGGAAATACCAGCTCTTCCCTTTCAAATTTTTCAAATGGTCAAAAAATACAAAGAGTGTCATGATTATTCAAGTTTCAATGAAATTGACTAATTGCATTAAAATTAATCTATATAGTGGGAAAATCTCCACTAGCTTGTCTCTGATTGGGTTCATGCTTTAAAAACAAAGTGAATATTCATTAAATATACAACAGCATTTATTTCATAATTCATCAAGTGATTACTTTATATATAAAGTTTCTTCTGTTCTTTTCTGGACCATAAAATCTCTTAGTGTTTTCTGTATTAACACTTCCATTTTTGTTGATATTGGAAGTAGAAACAATTTTCTTATCTTTTGACAAATTGACAAAATTTCCTCTAGTTTTTCCTTTTTGACATGTCATAATAACTTATGTAGATTTTTCTTAGCAGCCTTTGAGAGGGCTAGTTAAGTTAGCATTAAAGATTTTACATAATTTAAGTGATTTTATTTTTCTATGATATAACAGCTCTTTTAATTTACTGCTGGATGCATTCATAATTTATAAATTATTTTTCAAACAACAATTTGTCATGTGTGATTTAGTTATATTATCAGACAAGTATGTGAAAAGGTGCAGTAGTATAGTAATGGCAATAAAATAATGAAAGAGAAAAAGTGTCAAAATTAAAATTGGTATGGAGGTGTATTGAAGGTATTTGAAGGTTATAAAAAAAGAAGAAATATTTTTCAAAGAGTTATGGTAAAATCGACTTGAACAATGAAGCATGTATAATTTAATTGTAAGTTCCCAAATAACCCTAAATTGATTAATCACCTTATAAATTTATAGAATAGAAACAATTCAGAATTACTGCTCTGAAAAAATAAAGGGAGAAGTGAGAAAAACAAGAAAGAGGCGAGAATAAACAAATAGATATAGAATAAAAGATTAAGGTAGGAAAAAGTTAAGGAAGAATTAATTAAAATCATAAAACATGAACTGAAATCGTCGAAATTGCCGTCAATTTGAACATGAACAGAATGGGGCAGGAAAGAAAATGCAAGAAAGAAAATAGAAGAGGACAAAGAAGTAGAAATATGAACAAGAAAAAAAGTAGAGAAAAGTGAAAGAAAGAAAAAGAAATCATTAAAATCATCCATTGTGAGTTATTATACTGAAATTGTAAATCACTGTCATTGAATGGAATAGGAGAAACATAAAAGAAAGAAATAGAGACAAAGAAATAGAAAAGAAAGATATGAAAAAAGTTTGAGGAAAGGAAAATATTGAATCATCAAAATTATCAAAATTATCAGCCAGAAAAAAGGATAAGCATTAAATATTAATATTTTTTTCCAAAATTGGTTCTAACTGGCATTTTTTCCTAGAATACTATTAGACTATTTTGAAGTTATTTTTTTATATAATTAAAAATTTTTTTATTTTTTAATGTCAATGTCTAGTGTAGATTTTACTTTGTGCGATACCTATTCATGACTGTGTTTGATGTTACAATTCGTGAATTAGGGCTATAGTGTAAATGAGAAATAAGATGAAAAGAAAGAGAAGGGAAAAGAAAAAGAAATCATTGAAATCACCATCATGAGATGACAGATGTTTAAACAAAGAGAAAAAGGATTAAAAAAAAAGTGGGTGTTTTGGTAGAAGATTTAAATAAATAAAAGAGAGTAACGAGGAAGACGAAGAGAAAAGGAACGACGACCACCAGATCATCATAGGAGCAAAAGGAAAAGAAAAAGCAGCAGAATATAAAGATGTGACTTCATTTTTGGTCCTTCTTGCGAAATGTATTTCCTTGTACTCTCAATAAAAAGTTAAATATTATATACTTTTTTTTTTTTTTTTTTTTATTTTAAGCTCTGATTTCGAAAGAAATTAATCTGCACTTTGAATGTAAATTTTTAACATAGTTTAAATAATGCAAAAAGGATAGATCGAAATTAAGATTTTTGAAATTTTTTTTGAAATAAAACTCATTCTTATCGCCATGTAATATAATAAAGATTTTTTTCTAATAATGTAATTTTCGATAATAATAACAATAATAAAAATTTAACAAGATTAAAAAATAGTATGATATAAATATTAGACTTCATTTTATTCTTTCAATTATGAAGCTGAATTTCGATTCTAAATTTTTTATTTAACTATATACAGTATTTTATATATTTATATTTTTAATGTATAAATCGTATTTATTTTTATATTTTCCATACATTTATACTTTTTATTTTTTTGAAGCTTGAAACCAGGCATTATGTTCTTAAAGACTTGGGAAGGTAAATTTGCATTGTTACTTTATATAAATTAATTGATGACGATAATTCATCATCATTATTTTTTTGAAGTATCATTTTTCCGTATTTGTTTTGTAACCATCACAGACAATATGCAAAATTAAAATCAAAAATTCTAAATATATTTTGATTACTATCGAATGATCAAGCATCGTGGCTAAAAAAAGTAGCACAGCCGCCAAACAAGACATATATGATTAACAAAGATATATGTGCACGCCAAACAAGAAAAAGTCCGGGTCATCTGATGATCGGAATACAGTATGATATATAGGGTAATATCCGATATGTAAGCATAGAGATAAATTAATGGCTTATTGATAATAAAAAGATAAAGAAATGGCTTATTTGAATTTGAAAGTTTAAATTATGCTACAAATATATTAAAGCTCATTAATTAAAATAATTGAAATAAATAAGATCATTATTAAATCTTAACTATAAAATTGCCAAAAGATTACATAAACCAGTTCTGTTAGAATATTTTAGATATTTTTAATAAATCTTAACATATCATACTGTAAATACTCGTAATTTTTTTAAAAAATTCTGGTACTTACGAAAATATACTTTTTAAAAAAATATGGCGTCGAGACATGAAAATTACAACAAAAAAAAAACTTTTCTCAGTATTTTAATAATATTAATTGTATTTACACTTTAAATAAAATCTAAATGTTCTCGATGAATACATATTAAATATAAAAGATTTCCCTCTACCTAAGATTTTTTTTGATCATATTTATGTTATAAACCTTGATTTTCGAACCGATCGAAAGGAGAAAATGCAAATGATAGAAAATTATCATAATTTGGATTTGATTTTTTTCCGCAGTTTCAAGTGATGATATTAAAACACTTAACAAATATAATTCTTCATCTATGCGTCTGTCGTAAAGAATTTTTTGCCAGTCATTATAAAGTTTATGAATCTATTATAACCCATAGATACAGTGCTCATTGTTTTTAGAAGATGATTTAGATATTCAAGAAGATATTAAAAGAATTGTTGAGGATGAGGTTTTGAATTATTAGAATATATCACAATATCCCCGGATGGCATTTCGGTATTAAGTAGTCATTCTTAGTATTTAGAATTGGTAATAATTCCGTCGAAAAAACAAAAATTACGAAGATATTGACTGAACCCATAGGATTAAGTGTCGGATGAGCACCTACAAGTTATAATTTATAATGATGATATAGTTTTTTAGAAGTTTTAATAATTAGTAGTATAGTTTTAGTAATCATAATTTTTTTAAAAAAATAAAGAAACAAAATTGATTTTTTCGTTCATTAATTATCGATTTTCAATATTTACACATACAATTCGAAAGTGATAATGTAATCAATAAATAAAACTAATTATATATAATGGATATAAATATCGTAGGAATAATTCCTATGTGTTTTCAATTTTTAAAAACATAAATATTAAATATTAAATATTACAGTCGGAACCAGAGTTAACGTGAAGATGAGGTGCGTTTAAAGAGGGAATACACTTATAGAGGGTAAATTTAAAGAGGGAATGCATCTATAGAGGGCATTTATAGAGAATTGACGATAATAGCGATTCATCAAAAACTTAATATAATAATATTGTGAGTACAACTTTTCGTAATTGCAGAATTTATGGGGCAACAACTTACGCACGATTGCAATTAATGTGAATATGAAAAGTCATTTTTAAAAAATGAACCGCATATAAATTAATTAGTTTTATAATAATATTAATTAGTCAAGCAACTTTGGCCGCACTTGATAAGAAATTTCAGTTAAAAGAAATGCGTATATGTGTCGCTAACACTTATTCATTCTATAATATGGAAATAAAGGTCAGCAGGTATGTATAATATTAACAAACCTTACAATATTAATTTATAGCACTAATAATATAATAATAATAATATTGTTATTAATAATTTCTATAGAATGCCATTCGACATAACCTAACCTAACCCTATGTTCTGCTTTTCATCACTGTGAATGGGATGACAAAGAAAGCCTGGGTAATTGTTGATGAATATCAGGAATGTTTTGTCAATTATGTCTATATAAACTATAAGTCGAAAGAAATTAAAGAAAGTGAAGAAAGTGTTTCTGCCTTTAGGTCTGGGGAAGCAATCAGCTTCTCTAGTAATAAAATGGTTGAAATTTAATAGTCACATGTGCCAGAATTAACCTCTCTTTCTCAAGAATCGTCAACAAACCACTCACCGATCTCCACGTCTTCTATTTCTGGTTCTGAAAGAAAGGATCAAACCTCGCCAATAGTAGTGTTCTAAGTCATGACTTGAAAAATCAACTCGAGTCAACTAGTCGGCTATTTTGGTCAATTTTTCGACTGATTTCTAAAATTGGAAATAATAAAATTTTTTAAACATTTTTTTCGCCCCCAGTGGAAAATTTTTGTAATTTTGAATGTTCGCTCCATCTCCCAGTGATAAAACTTAAATGTTCACTCCACCCCCAGTGATATTTAAAAGTATATCTAACCATTGTCGATTTTTTTTTGATCGACTTGTATCACTAGCCATTACCTTAAAATTATTGAAGCTGAGGTTTAGAATATCCAAAATAATGGAATCTTGAATTATGGAATTAAAGAACTGAAATGAACAAATAGGAAACTTGGAAACTGGTTGTTAATGATAGGACTAGAGTACAACAAGCAAACATATTTTGCCTCGAAATTAAACGTTCTGGAAATATATCACTGCTCAGATTTATTTCATTGATCAAGATATTTTTAATCTGTAGTGAATTATTTTAATTGGGTTATGGTCAAATCTGGTTTTTTTTTTAATTTGCAACACTATTTTAGGCCAATTGACGAATTTCTTATAAATTTTACATAATAATTGCTAGAATTTTTATATGAACTTAAATTATCTAGATTTTTACTAAATAAGCTTTTAAAAAGCTATAAGTGTGGCCAATAGCTGGTAGGAAATAATGATGAATAAAGAAATTAATTGGTGGATCTAACCCATGCCATGTGCCTTTAAAATTTTTATTAATTTTATATCTATTTTATTTTTATTATTTTTTTTTTTGAACATATTTTATTGTAGAAGAATGAAAAGACTCATAATGTAT